AAAAAAAAAACAACCCACAATATGTTGCATTCCTCATTACTCTTTAATTACTTTTCATTATTTTAGGATTAATCCTTTAGGTTTAATAAGAAAATGTCATAGAACATGTCAAAATTCTGTCAAAATGGCCATAAAATGCCTTTAAATGTCCTGAAATTTCTACTTTAAAAATAAAACTAAAAACACGTTACTTATTAAACATTCAAGCAGCTTCATTTCCACTACTTAATGTTGCTTCTGAAATGTGACTTCATAATTTGTTGCTTTTAAGCTTTGGTAAGCAAGGATGTAAAAAAAATATTATTACACTTTCTTATCCTTGAGAAGACAGAATGGTTGAATACACCAAGATATACCAGCTTAAAAAAATAGTCACCACGAGGTTTTTCACCTTGGTGCAAGAATGAAAGGTAGTTCTTTCCTCTGACGTTTTGTAAAAGAATCAGTTTCCTTTTTTGGTCAAACCACTGTATTTTGTGTGAAACATTGTATCTTGTGCAAAACAAACATTTGGTGTGCTGAATCTTCCCATAAATATTCACAATGAAATCCAGAAATGTGAACAATCCAGAAATGTAAACACAATGATATCAAAAAATGCACAAAATACCTTGCAAACTCAGCTGGAGGTTGGGAGGAGGCTTTTAAAATGTTTCATAGGGCCTTTGCAGACTGCCAGAAATAGTGCACTTTAAATTGAGACACTGACCTGGCTCAGTGCTAGGAAATCATGGGAATTGCATTTTTTCTGAGACATTGAGCCTTCTCTGTCAGAGAGCTCTGGTGCCACAAGGTTGTGAGGTACTGAACTCACAACCTTGTGGCTTGTGAGTGAGTGGCTGAAGTATAGGCATTTAATCACTGCGCCACCAGGGCTCCTCCTAAGGCTGTCATACCTTGGCCACATCATGAGAAGGCACGACTCATTGGAGAAGACAATAATGCTAGGAAAGGTGGAGGGAAGCAGAAAGAGAGGAAAACCACATGCTAGATGGATGGACTCTCTAAAAGAGATCATGGGTATGAATTTGTAGAAACTGAGCAGAGCAGTGGAGGATAAGGAATCATGGAGATGTCTCATCTACAGGGTCACCATGGGTTAATAATAATAATAATAATAATAATAATAATAATAATAATAATAATAATAATAATAAAATTTATTTATATCCCGCCCCTCTGAGACCAATCGGGGCGACTTACAGTGTTAAAATACAATATATCCAAACCCTATTCCCTCCCTCCCCTTAAAACAATATTAAATCAGATAAGAGTTAAAACAAACAAATTAAAACAACAACATAAAATATATGCAGATATGGGGTTGAAATTGACTTGAGGGTGGATAACAACAACAACAACAACAATAACAACAATGCTTGTTATTGAAGGTCTAAAACATACTGCAGAAATAATATAGTTTGCAACCACTTTAACTATCCTGGCTCAGTGATAGGGAATCCTGGGAATTGTAGTTTATTGTGGCAGCAGAGCTCTCTGACAGAGAAGGCTAAATATCTCACAAAACTACAGTTCTCAAAATTCCCTAACATTGAGTCAGAGCAGTCTCAAACTGGATTATTTCTGCAGTGTGTTTTGGACCAACATTTCAGGTGCACAGATCCTTTCAGGCATTTGGCTACTCTGAGTTCCATTCACATTTAGGGCCTCTGCAGACGGCTAATTGAGCCATCTTCCAGGCCCCGAAGAGGAGGGGCAGCCGCACGAGCAGCGCCCCTTCCTCTTCCTGAGGTCGCCCTCGGAGTTGCCGGCCGTTTGCACGGCCGGCGCTCCAGGGATGACCTCACGCCGCGGCGACCAGACGCGCTGCAGCGGAAGAGTCAGGGAAAGTGCGCCCGCCGCTTTTAGGGCGCACTTTCCCTGACATCTAAAAGGAGCGCCAATTTGGTGCTCCTTTTAGAGTCGCCGGAGGAGCGCCGCGGTGCGGAGCTCCCTGGTCTGCATCCCCCTTGAGTTGGTGAATGGTTGTTCTGAACAAAATCCCAACAGCTGCTGATATATCTGGTCTTTGCTTATGTACAGAAGCTTCCCCATGCCTTCTCTGTACTTGTTGTTGTATTTTCAATTTTCTTTACTTTCTGTTTCATAATTTTTTTTATTTTTTTTTTTAGATTGGCTGGTCACCAGGATAAGCTCAGTTGGGTTTGCAGGAGCTGAAAAAGATTTTTAAATCACCTTTTCTGCTTTGCTCTCCTGCTTTTCTGATGTGCTGAGTTTCCATTTGGTTACTAATTGGTACATCTTCCTATTTGAAGGAAAAACACTTTGATGTACTTTCTTATAGTTTTCTGCATAAAATTAGTTTTGACCTTTCAGAGTAACAAAACATGTTTTCCCCCTCACTTCAGAATAGATAAAAGTAACACGCATCAATACAACAACATATTTGTCTTGTATATCATGAATACAGAAAAATTGATTAACATGTGGAAAGGCATTTGAAAAAGAGAAAAGTAATTCCCCCCTTCCCCCCCATGCTCATTTATTCACTAGGTATGTAATTACAAACCATTCTGAATTTTTTAAAAAAGCAATAATGGTTGGACAGCATACCTAAGGAAAATTATTGCAGGATGCATTTTCTCAGGAAGAAGGGAGAGGAAGTATAAAAAGAATAGATCTATAAATCTTTAGAACCCTTTGGAAAATGAATTGGATCCAGTTTATTGGACTTGACATTCTGACTTCATAACCAAGTATTTTATTAGCCAACTCTTTTTGTACTGCAGACTCCAGAAAATAATTCTGATCATGCCTGTGGCAGATTTGAATGTACATGCAGAAATTTTTAAAAAGATCTGAAGGTTTCCAATTCACAGGCTGCTATGGTTCTAGTTAATCTGTCAAAAATAAAGTAAACTAAATAAAAGACAATCTGGCAGCAAGGCAGGAAGGAAAATAATGCCAAAGGGATAAAAGACCAGCTATTTTAAGACCAATTTACACTATGAAGTCAAATGGCTTTAAAAAAAAAGATTGTTCTGTGAGGATTGGGACCATTCTCAAAAGCAACACAAGAACCTTGGACATTGCTCTGTCTTCCCCCTTATCATTGAATCAGCTGGAACTGTTTTGCAGTCATATTGCAGCATGGAGTGCTATCCTTATTCCATTGTTTGGCTTGTTACACATCACTTCCTGGCATCTTCTATTTGACCATAATTCTATCTATTCTATTTATCTATATAGAATATTTCTATTCCACTCATCAGCCACAAAAGCTCTCAGAGCAGTTTACAGATTGTTAATTTGACAGTTCCCTGCCCTTAGGTTTACAATCTAAATAAAACATGGCATACAAGGAAAAGGGACTGGCAGTGGGGAAGGGGATGAAGTCCAGAAGGTACTGATGGTTCTTTATCTCTGAGGCCAAGGCAGTAGCAGCTGGGATGAAGGGAAGGCCTCACATCTGCTTCTGAGACTAGGCATGATGGACCTGTGACTGCCTCTTCTTCTTCTTCTCTCTTATCTATGGCTTAGAAGCAAGAAGAAGTGCCAGAACCACCAACCAGTTAGAGCAGTAGTTTTGCAGCATTTTATTGGAGAGCCCTGAAAATTCTTTGGTAGTTTTTTTGGGGGGGGCTTCAGTGAGAGGATTATTAATGATGGCCTAGCTTAGACAGGGCAGTGGAGTGCTGAGCATGTTGAAGCATGCCCTCTGTTCACATAACCTAGTGATGAAGTGATAGAAGCACAGAGTTGGAAGGGACCCCAGTGTTGATAATTATAATCAAGATGGGGCATGAGATGCCAATTTTCTTCCCACCTCAGTTAGTGTTAGAACTTGAATGGATGGTCACTGGGGAGAGATT